ATCTGCGTTTCGCCGGTTTCTATCTCTTTTAGTTTAGAAGATATTCGCTATCAAAAAACGTCGAAAAAAAGTATCAAGCACCCCCCCTTGACGATTTTTTCTTATGAAGAAAAATTTTATCTCTTAGATTTCCAATTTAACTGTCTTATCTTATAGAAAATGGTCCGTAGATTAAGATGCCGAGATCCGCGCATTTTTATCTCTTTTAGTTTACGAGATATTCGCAATTGAAAAAAATCGTCAAAATTTGCAAAATTGTCATTTTTAGCACTTTTAGACGCATTTTTCGCCCTTTTACTCTACGATATTTAATTATTTTATGTGGTTTTCTGATAGAGAATTTTCTAATCTTTCATAATCTGCGATTCGCCGGTTTCTATCTCTTTTAGTTTAGAAGATATTCGCTATCAAAAAACGTCGAAAAAAAGTATCAAGCATGCCGAGATCCGCCCCTTGACAAAATTTGCAAAATTGTCATTTTTAGCACTTTTAGACGCATTTTTCGCCCTTTTTTCTTATGATAGAGAATTTTCTAAAAAATTTTATCTCTTTTAGTTTAGAAGATAGATTTCCAATTTAACTAGATTTCCAATTTAACTGTCTTATCTTATAGAAAATGGTCCGTAGATTAAGATGCCGAGATCCGCGCATTTTTATCTCTTTTAGTTTACGAGATATTCGCAATGGAAAAAAATCGTCAAAATTTGCAAAATTGTCATTTTAATGGTCCGTTTTCTGATAGAGAATTTTCTAATCTTTCATAATCTAGATTAAGATGCCGAGATCCGCGCTTATGAAGAAAAATTTTATCTCTTAGATTTATCTCTTATCTTTAGTTTACAAGATATTCGCAATTGAAAAAAATCGTCAAAATTTGCAAAATTGTCATTTTTAGCACTTTTAGACGCATTTTTCGCTCTTTTACACTACGATATTTAATTATTTTATGTGCTTTTCTGATAGAGAATTTTCTAATCTTTCATAATCTGCGATTCGCCGGTTTCTATCTCTTTTAGTTTAGAAGATATTCGCTATCAAAAAACGTCGAAAAAAAGTATCAAGCACCCCCCCTTGACGATTTTTTCTTATGAAGAAAAATTTTATCTCTTAGATTTCCAGTTTAACTGTATTATCTTATACAGAATGGTCCGTAGATTACGATGCCGAGATCCGTTCCTTTTTATCTCTTTTAGTTTACGAGATATTCGCTATTGAAAAAAAATCGTTACATATTAATACACTATGAAAGCTAATTAATTGCAATCTCCACACAAATTTTATAAAATTTTATAAATTTTAAAGCTCAATAACTTCCAAAGTAATAAACATTTCTCAAAAATTCCTTCTCCTATTAACAACTAAACTCTAAAGAATTCACCTCACCGAAATTCATGCAATTTACTCAAAAAACGCGAATATTATCGCCGTCGAAGGTTTTCGTCGGTTTTTGCGCGCTCGGCGCGTCGAAATTCAATCTAAAATTGATGGAATCTTTCGAATTTGAATAGAAACCTGATTCGCCGCCTGCAATTTCGCATCAATCTGCATTCGCTCGGCGCATTATCTCTTTTATGATTGGCAACGTAACATTTCTAGCATAATAAAATGCGCGCTTCTTTTCGCGGCGCGCGCGGCAGCGGCTCCTTTCACTCGAGTTTATTTTTTCTATTCATCATCGTCGTCACCGCACCGACGAAGACCAAGACGAAGAAGATAAAGACGAAAACGAAGAAGAAGAAGCTGCGCGAACCACACGATCCATTCTAATTCGTACGCGTGTGTACGATTTCGAATAATTTTTTAGTTTTTGAGTCGAAATGAAGAAATTAGGAAATTTCGGTTCGCCTCTGCGTTATTCTTATTTTTTCGACGTTTTTGAGAGCGATATTTCACGACACTGGACCGATTGGATAATTACACAATTTAGAAAGCTATTTGCATTTATTTACGATTATTTACAGCCGTTTTGTGCCCGTCGGGAACGAAAAAAGCGCGTAAAACATTCAAAAACAGCTTAAAACTCACGCGATTGCATATTATTCACGCCTTCTTTGCTTTTTAGGCGTTCGGGGCGTTTATCTCGACAACAAAATCAGAAAACACGCAAAAAGTGTTCAAGCACACTTAATCATCCGTTATTTTCATCATAAATATAATATAATATAATTTTATTTTTTTATTAATTAAAAATAATTTTTAGTGTTTTTTGTGTTTTGTGTTTGTAACACGAATGAAATTTTCATTGCAATGGTATGGTGAATACATAGTAAGCAAGGTGAAGATGAATAAAACAGGCGAAGCGTTAAGTAAATGAGCAACATTGTTGTTGAAAAAGGCGATCAAGGCGAACAGGTGTCATCCGCTCGCGCCGCGATGATGATGAGGTCGCGCGGCGCGACAATTTGGGTGGGACATTGTGCGTTGTGTGTTGGGATCGGTATAAATTTAGAAAAAGTTCAATAACAAACAGAAATCAACTACTGTTTCACTAATGACGGACATACTCGAATTTAGACATGCATAGGTATAAAATCATAGAACATGATGTATCCAGGTGTTTATACAGGTGTGCAACGCCATAAATTCTAATTTAATTCTACACTTTAATAGATTGCTTAATAATGAGTAATTATAGCAAGTTTTGTTTAAATTTATTAATTATTGCGGAAATTACGGCAAAAAAACTTAATTTTGTCATGAAATTATTGAAATTTTGCATTTTTCAGTTTTTTTTAAATAACACTTAGAGTTTTCATAATAGGTTAATGAAATTTTTCATATATATTCTATAATTAATATATTATCAATTTCTGGGTAAAATATGAAAATTTATTTATTAGTTTTCTCAATATTTACTTTCAAACTTTGCGAAATAATTAGTAAAAAAATAAAACTGCATTATTTTTAATTTTTGTCAATTTTACGAGCAAAGTGCAACAAAATGGCTAAATAAAAACAAAATTTCTTTTCACACAATAATAGATTACTTAATTAAAAAGTATTTAGATCAAATTTCATTGATATTAATTAATTATTACAAAAATTTCAGTAAAAAAACTAAATTCAGTCATTAAAACTACATCTTTCTAGTTTATTAAACATTCGGCTCACACTTTTCTTAACACCATGCCGTAATTATTCATAAATAATCTATAATAAATCTATTACAAATCGCCATCAAAAAAATTAGAACCACTCCGGTAGTTTTTCAACAATTCGTTCTCAACTCAAACTACGAACTAAGAAATAATTTTTATTATATATTACAAACAGAAAAAAGCTTACAACGAGAAGGACACTGTCGCAAATAAATCATGAAACCATGTAATGAGTTAACGCCGAAAGTGAGGACAAAAATAAAAATACGCAGCAACGAGCGAAAAAAAATTGACAAAAATGAAAGCAAGGCTGGTAGATATTCCAGCGTAGTATACTCTGTACACACCAGCGCATAAAATCAGTCATAAATCTCAACTCTGCGATCGGAAAAAATGCAAAAATTTCAAACTCAAAGAAAAAAAATCCGATTTGAATATTAACCGAATGCACAACTTATGAATTGCATAACTAGAACTTATGTGTAAATAAAAATAAAAATAAAACGCGCCGTGAAAAAATCCGTATCTGTGTCGATATATCAACGTCGCCAATTTGTAATTCAATTCGTAATTTTAATATGTGTGGCGTTGATTTGTGAAGAAGTTAACATTGAGAGCGTAAAAAAAATCGGCGTGATTTTCAAGCTCATTTTGTTATTAGTTATTCAAATATTCATACGCTGAGAGTCTTCACTGTATATTTGTATTATTGTTGGTTTTTTGTGTTTCGTTTGATCTAGTTTCGGACCTTCGACGAGACTTTGATGGTTATTAATTGATTTTTGAGTATTTTATTAATGAAGCGCTTAATTTCGGAACACTCGCGCGGACACTAAGTGCGTGTTTAAGTCGCCGGCACGTCGAAGGTTTTTAACGTTTAACGGTGAACGAATTTTGAATAAATTGGATATTGGATATTCAGATTGAAATTGCGGCAATTTCAATATGAAAATGAAATGCAAATTTGAGTTGCACACGCGCGGAGAGTATGGATGAGTGTAGAAGTGTATGTAATGAGTTTTGTTTTGTTTTGTTTTGTTTCTTTGTTCTGGATTTGAACGGGATGACAAAGAAAATAATGCGGAGTTTTTGAGTCATTAACAAAGAGTTAATTTTATTTGTTTTTAGTTTTAGTGATTCATGATATCAGATAGTATTTTTGTGATAACAAGAGTAATTATTACGCGATCGTGATAAAACTTTGTAGTAAAAATCTTTATTAAATGTACTTTATGCTACAAGTGAAAAAATTAAAATTCATTAATTAGTTTTCGTGATAATCAGTTTTGAAGTCACACAAATTTTCGTTGTATGATATTTTCATTGTAAGTATAATATCAAGTGTTAGTTTTTTCACTCCTGTGTCAACACTTCTTATCAGAGGAAAACTAAATTAAGCAGTTGTATTCTGCATTAAATTATCTTCAAATTGTAGTAAATATAATTAAAATCGTATAATTAGATTCTATATAACTCGCAATTGAAATTTAAGAAAATATCACACTTTTTTATTTTTGTCATTTTTGATTTTCGTTAGTTTATTTACAAAAACTTAAGCAATTTTTATCGAATTACATCAAATCTTTTGAATACAGAATCTATATTAAATTTATCATAACCCACAGCAAAAAAAATTAAAATCACATGTTTAGATTTCCCGTAATTAAGACATAAAATTAGTAAAAACTAAAAGTCAACGAATAAAATTGATTTCCTCTCTATTTCTATCGATTGACTATAATAATAACAACAATAATTTTATAAAACAAAAAACTATGAAAGCCAATTAAACAATCTACCCTATTGTTTTTAAATTTTAAAAATCCAACGCTTACTTTCCGAGTTACAAGCCGCCAACCAAACCTTACTTAACTTAAGCCAAGTGATCAAAATTCAACTCACCATGAAAACCATTAAAACTTGTGTGCTGCTTTTCGCAACACGTCCTTGTTAAACCCGAACAAACTCCAAACGCAAAAAGGGTCCCAAATTAATACATAAACAATCAATTCTTATCCTTATCCTTTCCATGCAGGCGCTGTGCGTGTATTCATCCTTTTTCCTTCCTCAATATCTTATCGTTACTATCACAACTGTTTACTTTCTACTTGTACACTATAACTATATTGGGAGTATCCTAGAAATTAATTTACTGGCTGGATTTACTGGCGCTCGATTAACTAATGCTTCAACCACACGGCTACATTTCGTGCGTGCGTGTGTGAGTGCGTGTATGTGGGTCTAATCAGGGCGTAACACGCGCGCGTGTCCTGTTTTTCCTCCTCGCGCGCCTGTCAGACGCCCGGCGATAACGCGCCGATAGCGCATCCGCAGGTGTCAAACATCATCATCATCACAATCATCACACAATCGCGCGATTAGTTGGTGGCGTTTTTAGTCGTGTCGCGATCGCGCCCGCTGTCGGTCATGTCGTTATCGGCGATGATTGTGCGCATTGTTCGGCCGGGCAAGGCGTGCGCGCATCGTTATCACATGATTTACACACTGATACACACGCGCGGGGATCACTCACACATGTCTCTGCGTTCTGATCAATGCACACTGGTGCAGCCGCTGCGCGCGTCGCGGATCCGCGGACTCGGAGACTCGGACTCGACTGAGCTGCGCGCGTTTGCGCGTTCGGTGAGTTGACTTTGCGCGGCGGCGAGTCGGCGCGAATTCGTCATCGGTGCGCGGCGACGGAGCGCTAAGACCCGAGAGCGCGTGGAAACGACCTCGCGGCACGCACGCGGCGCGACAGCATCGGCTTAACTTAAGTCACAACTTTACAAGCAAATATCTTCATAACTATCACTGATAATTAAATTTGCTTTTTACTAATTAATAGTAAATATTATCTAGAATACGTGTATAAAATTTTATTAACGTAACTTTATTACTTTTAAAGTTATTTAACTTTTTATAAATAAAATCACATTTTGCAATGAATTTTTAAAACTTTAACTTTAATATCAAATAACTCTTTAGTGAATTAATATTTTTTTAATTCGTAAACACTATTTCATAAACAATTTAATTCTTAATCCAACACGATATCAAAAAATACTCCATCTTTAATACTTAAGTCACAATTTAACTTTTTCTAAAAAAAATCCCCAATAGATCCATTCCTGTGTATTACGTATGCAGTCATATGTTGCTTACCCATTCTCGGCACCGCGACTGAAGCCATAGTACAGTTACTCGCGTGCTGCGCATGCGCGACGCGCTTAGTGCTCGGTGTGGACGCGCACGCTCGTGAGCGCGCCGCGCACGATCCGGCAATCCGGCGTACAATCACTTTTCTGCGTTCCCATCGTTCGTTACCGCTTAACGAACATAGATAAACATAACTTAAATTAAGCCTAAACCGAGTTAAGTACGCGCGGTGTGAGTAAATAAAAGCCGCGTTCGCTTAACGTGCGCCTGCAATCGCGGTTCATACTTTCAACTTTCAAGGGTGATATCTTGGAAAGTATAAGTGATAAGGGGAATATTTGTTTATAAATAAGAAGGGAATTTAATTGTTTATCTATTTACATGATTGTTTATTCATATTTATTGTTAGAAGTATTATTTATTTATTAATTTAGTAAAAATTACATTTTTTTAATCAGAAAAAGTTTAAGTTTTGACTTTGATTGTTTATAACTTTTGAAATAATTAATATTTTTTTGTTTTGTTTTTACTAGCTTAAAGACAATTTAATTCTCTATAAACATATATTTTTGTAATTATTTTATCGTTATTTATCAATTAGTTATTAACAATTTTCTTCCAAAATGTAAAATTTTCTTAAAATTTGCAATATCTTCAAAACTAATTGAAATAATTAAATTCTCTCCACCAAATAATTATCATTAATATTCTGATCACATATACAAAGTATATACCAAAACCAAAACCCCGAACATAAAAATTTTCGAAATTAAAACAATAAGTCGTCTTAAATTGCGTTTTCGCGCCACTTGTATCGTATCTTCGTTATCTTTAAGAATAAACTTTCGAATTCCCAGGATATAGTATTCGAAATAAGACTCCCAGTCGATCCTGCCCGCGTCAAAATCGAATATCTCTTTATCATCTTCGTCCATGCGGCGTATCAGGCGTCGCACGTTGCCATCGCGTACATTCCACGATTTTGTGGTGAAATACGTAAGAATGCGTGATAACATATCGATTTTCGTATAGTATCCGATATATTTTGTCTTGTAAAAGAGATATAGGGTGCAAAAATCGATAAAGTACCCAGGGATGTAGTGCAGAAGGGTTATTAAGAGGAAGTGCCAGTTTTTTTGCGCGTGTAAGATGCTCCATGGGAAGGAGAGCGTGAAAATTGTTGGATAGCGGTACATAAATTTGTTGCTAAGGCCAAAGAATAGTTTCCAGGGTAGTGTGTTGCATTTGGATGTTGTTAGATTGTAGATCATCAGTTGGTCTTCGATTGGTACCTCTACGTTGTCATTTAAAGCTCTGGAATATAATAAATATAGGAAAAACTAGAGAAATGTTAAAAGTCAACTTTAAAGTTGAATAACTTTTGATTGAAAAGCGATAGAAATTTCCGGTTTTCAAATATTTGTAGACAATTTAATTGCTTATCACAATATTTTTATATGAAGTTGATACGAGGCGGCATTATTAATCTACGGGGTGTTTTCTAATTAAAATGATTTTATGATTATTTTCTGCATAAAAACAATATCAACTTTAAAGTTGAATAATTACTGATTGTAAAACGATAAAAATTTCATGTTTTTACCTTTAGATGCAAAATTTAATTCTGCATAAAATATTATGTAACTTTTTTCTTCTAAAACTTATGGTTTTGCTGCAATTCTTATTTTTGTAAAATCATACCTTGATTGAGCAGTGTCCCAAGCAATACTAATCATAGCATTGGCAGCCATATCAATAGGAAACACTTCAGCAGTCATATCTTTTTTCGCCAGAATGGATTTATTCAATCCTATGTAGGTTGTCATTGATAAACCCACTAAACTGTTCACAGTATCAGTATATCCACGGCAAGGATATCGATAACTGGGTATTAAAAGTGGAAGTCTTACAATCACCACTGGAAGAGTCTTGTTTTCATTCTTAATCAATTCCTCAGCAATTGACTTAGTAAAAACAAAATTATTCGGTAGGTCACCAAGATTTCTAAAAAAAAATCATTTTTTTAAATTTTAATATCAAACAAAATATTAACATACATTGGTTTCTGATAGTGTACATTTGGATCCATTGAATCTAGAAATTCCATTAGTGCGCCAGCTGATATGAAGGGCCGCTCGAAAGTCTCTTCCAACATATTTTTCCCGCAGTTAGCGAAAAGTGTCGACGCATGCACGAAAACTTTCAACTTCCGCATGCGTTTCGCCAAATTGAGTAGATCGCGCGTCGCACGCACGTTCACTTCGGCTGATGTCTTGAAGTTTTCATCGAACAGGGTCGTACTACCCAGGTGGAAAACTATCTCGGTGTCTTCTATTAGTTTAAGGGAATCAGCTTCACTTATGCCCAAATTTGGTAGACATAATTCACCGCGAATGATTGTAATTTTTGAGAGGAATTGCGGGGAGGAACGGCGGATGTTGTCGAAAGCCTGTGAAAATATAAAGTTTAAAACTAAATAATTATAGATTGGGGTTTGATAAGGTTTGAGTTTAGGAGATACACACATTTGCCCATTTTTTCTTATGCATTAAAATTTTATCGCTTAGATTTCCAATTGAACTAGCTTATCTGATAGAGAATTTTCAGCATATTAAGACGCCGAGATGCGTTTCTTTTTATCTCTTTTTGTATACAAGATATTCACATTTGAAGAAAATCGTCAAAATTTGCAAAATTGTCATTTTTAGCACTTTTAGACGCATTTTTCGTCCTTTTACTCTACGATATTTAATTATTTTATGTTGTTATTTGATAGAGAATTGTCTAATCTTTCATAATCTGCAATTTCTGCCGATTTCTACCGCTTTTAGTTTAGAAGATATTCGCTATCAAAAATCGTCGAAAAAAAGTATCAAGCACCCCCCCTTGGCAATTTTTTCTTAAGATGAAAAATTTTATCTCTCAGATTTCCGTTTTAACTAGCCTATCTTATAGAGAATGATCCGTTGATTAAGATGCCGAGATCCGCGCATTTTTATCTCTTTTAGTTTACGAGATATTCGCATTTGAAAAAAATCGTCAAAATTTGCAAAATTGTCATTTTTAGCACTTTTAGACGCATTTTTCGCTCTTTTACTCTACGATATTTAATTATTTTATGTTGTTATCTGATAGAGAATTTTCTAATCTTTCATAATCTGCAATTTGCCGATTTCTACCACTTTTAGTTTAGAAGATATTCGCTATCAAAAATCGTCGAAAAAAAGTATCAAGCACCCCCCCCTCTCAGGTTTTAACAATCTTTTTCTTAAGATCTCTTTTAGTTTACGAGAAAATTTTATCTCTCAGATTTCTACGTTTTAACTAGCTTTTAGTTTAGAAGATATTCGCTAACAAAAATCGTCGAAAAAAAGTATCAAGCACCCCCCCTTGACGATTTTTTCTTATGAGTAAAAACTTTATCTCTCAGATTTCCGTTTTAACTAGCCTATCTTATGGAGAATGATCCGTTGATTAAGATGCCGAGATCCGCGCATTTTTATCTCTTTTAGTTTACGAGATATTCGCATTTGAAGAAAATCGTCAAAATTTGCAAAATTGTCATTTTTAGCACTTTTAGACGCATTTTTCGCCCTTTTGCTCTACGATATTTCATTATTTTATGTTGTTATCTGATAGAGAATTTTCTAATCTATCATAATGTGCGATTTGCCGATTTCTATCACTTTTAGTTTAGAAGATATTCGCTAACAAAAATCGTCGAAAAAAAGTATCAAGCACCCCCCCTTGGCAATTTTTTCTTAAGATGAAAAATTTTATCTCTCAGATTTCCGTTTTAACTAGCCTATCTTATGGAGAATGATCCGTTGATTAAGATGCCGAGATCCGCGCATTTTTATCTCTTTTAGTTTACGAGATATTCGCATTTGAAAAAAATCGTCAAAATTTGCAAAATTGTCATTTTTAGCACATTTAGACACATATTTCGCCCTTTTACTCTACGATATTTAATTATTTTATGTTTTTATCTGATAGAGAATTTTCTAATCTATCATAATGTGCGATTTGCCGATTTCTATCACTTTTAGTTTAGAAGATATTCGCTAACAAAAATCGTCGAAAAAAAGTATCAAGCACCCCCCCTTGACAATTTTTGCTAATGAATAAAAATTTTATCTCTTAGATTTCCAATTTAACTAGCTTATCTGATAGAGAATTTTCCGTAAATTAAGACGCCGAGATGCGTTCCTTTCTATCACCTTTAGTTTACAAGATAAACGCAATCAAAATAATCCAACATTTTCTCTAACCATTTCCACAATAAAGTCGAAAACTTACTTACTGGATGGTTAAACAGCTCTTCTTGTCTATGTCCCATCTGATTAAGATTCTTCGCGCGCACAATCAAATAAATCCTTTCAACAAGCGGGCAAAACTTCAATATTTTCGCAACTAGCAACTTCCCCACTGAACCCGTACCACCCGTAACAAGCAGTGTTTTACCGGCGTAAAACTTCTGCACACGCGTTTCATCTTCTGGCAGTGGTACGACATCGTCACCAACGACTTGTGCCAGCAGGAATTCCATCGCAACTGCGTTGATATTACAAATGATATTTATTTATTTTCATTGCGTCTGTACTTTATGTGCAAGTACACTTTACTCGTACATATTGAGCGAGTATTGCGCAAACCGGTCGATCAGGATGTATTTTCATTTTTATTTGCATTTTATACCAACAACAATGGGGAATAATTAGTGAAGGAATAAGTTATACGGTGGAAATATACAGTAGAAACAGTCGACAGTGAGAAATAGTCTCGTAAACCTTGTAAATATTATATTGGAGAGTCAAATCGGTTGCCTATGGTTAAAACACGTTTTTGAATTTTAAAATTTTAAACATTAACTTTGAAGATGAATAACTTTTAAACTAATAAAGATATTTTGATATTTTCTTTGCTAGATTATAAACAATTTAATTAATAATATATACATTGTAGATTATTTTAAAATTATTGATAATTATATTAATTATGGTTATTTTTCTAACATAAATCAATTTTGTGAATATTTTCAACTTTAACTCTTAATAACTTTTTATTGACTAAATATTTTTAAACAATTTTTCCTCGACTTAAAAAACAATTTAATTAAGAGCATAATTATTCATAACAATATTATTTTCTTTAGTTTACTTTGCGTTAAATTAAGTTTTTATCAAAAATTTTAACAAAAAATAACAGAAGTATAACATTCCGGTTATAACAAGACTGACAATCGTCCAATGAGCAATCACAAGTCTTCTATATCTCCTCCTAGCTTCCGGTAAAGTATCCATTGACTCTTTGGCTAAGTAAAGTCTTCCACCCTTGAGAAAATTCTCCATGAATTCATCCCAATCGAACGTACTCATTCGTATCTCGAATAATTCTTTGTCTTTTTCGTTGAATTTTTGCCATAGTTTGTTGATTTTGTTGTGTGGCAGACTCCACTTCCGGATTGTGAAGTAGTTGATAACGTTGGTAAAGCGACGGATTTTTTCATAACCATCAACCATTCTAGAAATAAAATTAAACAAAATATTTGGGAGAAGGTTTTTGGAGGGTTTTTAAATAGAAAATGTGTTTACATTGGTTCTTTTCCGATGATTCTACAACAAAAGTCGACGATATGTGCGGGGATAGTGTGTAGGAAGAACCAGTACAGGTTGTGCATCCATGCAGACTCATTTAGGGTGAATGTTACACGCCATAGACTGCGAATTGAGACGATTTTTAAGCCTGTTTCCTTACATTTGTCCATGTATATTTCTAGAAAGAAAAAATGTTAAATTTAAAGTTTAAATTTATAGAGGTAACTTTTATTACTAATATCTATTTTAATATTAGTGACAAGAATTTCAAATTGTTGGAATATTAGAGGGAATTTATTTGTTTAGTTACTTTTGCTTTGTTTTCCAAAATATCTTTGATAGTTTCTGAGATATTTGCAATTTTCTAAGTGTAAATTTGTCAAGTTTTACTCGAAAATAATACTTACGCCAATTGATGGAATATTCATTTGAAGTATAATTATATACTTCCACACGATGTTTTTCTTCTTTTTCTAAATTTTCTATTTTTCCTTGTTGTTTTTGTTGTGCTGTAACCCACGCCGTGGCTAAAGTAGCATTAACCACATAATCCGCCGGTACCATATCAGCAGGATTCGTCTTACTGCAATGTAGTGTCCTTAAAAGACCAAGTGCTACTGCATATGCCACGCCAATAGGGCCGTAGAAATTATCTACCCATCCACGGATTGGTTCTTTGTACGTTGATACAACTTAATTTAAAAGAAAGAAAAAAATACATAATAAATTGCGATAGAACAGATTAGAATTTATTTATCTTACTGATTGAAGGACGTATGATGCACACTGGTAAATGCTGCGCTATTTTGTTGACCATATCTTCGGCGATACATTTCGTAAATGAGTATGTGTTTGGCCAATCTCCTAATAATCTAAAATCAAATTTAAATCAAATTTAAATCAAATAATTCAGTTTTTACATGTTTTTTTTTTTTTCACATATTAGTTTACCCATAATTTCACTTTAAATTTAATTTAAAAAAAATAACACTTACGGTGGTGTCATCCTTTCAACCAATTTATCATCCTGAAACTCCTCCAGGAACACTCCCAATTGTTCTGCATTGATAGTCGGCTCATACACCTGCTCATCAATCTCATATCTCGGACAATTCGAATACGCTGTCGAAACATGCACGAAACTCTCCAATTTCTCCATCTTCTTCGCATTCAAAATCAAATCCCTCGTAGCCCTGACATTAATCTGATACGCAGTGCGTAAATGTTGATCAAACCTCACTGTAGCGGCACAATGTATCACAATCTGCACTTCTTCATGCAGTATTCTCCAATGTTCATCAGACACACCCATGTTTTCCATTATTAAATTACCGGGAATCATTTTGATACGTTGCAAGAAATCTGGATGTGATTTCTTGAGCGGATCCAACATGGGTAGATCAAACATTTCTTCAAAACGCTCATTTTCGGATTTGCCTTTTTTGGGTCGTACTAAGATGTAGACTAAGCGTACTTGACAGATGCGTAGGAGACGCTCTAGGATTAATTTGCCGAGAAATCCGGTGCATCCGGTTACTAGGATGACTTTTCCGGTGAAATAGTTGACGATTTGAGAAGGGTGAGGCATTGTGATAGACTGAAGTGTAATGGACAGCTGGGGATTGTTTTATTCAAATGGTTTTTCAGATTTTTTGGAATGATCTTTGACTTTGATTATTCTATGTAAATTCTGTTATTGTTGTCTGGTTGAAAGTGATTTTTATATGATCAGTAACTAGAGTAGTCTTTATCCAATTTTTAGAAATTTGGTATCAATGTGTAGACAATTTATTTGGGTATTACATGCAGTTCGAACGGTTTTGCTGCGCTTGCGCAATAGTGTATAATTTAAGTTTTTAGTAGAAAACTAATGGACAATGATTTTTTATTTATTTTTGCTTTTTTATGATTATCTTTAATGTTTCCGGTTTGGCTTTGGTGACATTTATCGTTAATATTTCAAATGTTGGATAATTAAATTTTATATCAACAACGAATTTTTGATTATTATTTAAGTACGCATTGCATAGATATTTTGAAAAAAACTTGCGTGACAACAGTATCTACTCGTACATGAACTCTATATTTATTTTATGAATAACTTAGGCAATTCTTAATCAAATTTTATAAATACAGTATCATTTTATAGGTATTTTATTAAACTATCAGAAACATGTTAAATTCTTTAGCTGCGCATGCGCAATTATTCATAATTCAACTTTAAAGTAAAAATTGCTCAAAACACGCATGAAACTCAAGAAATGCTTTTTTTTTTACTTTAATCTTAAATATTTTTAGTTTGGTTATAACAATTTTAATAATTTTAGCGTTATATTACATATAATTAAATACTACATCAATGCTATACTTTTCAATTCTATACGTATGCGCATTCTTTTTATATATATTTTTAAACTGAATTTTTAAATAATGTTTTACATTAAAACAAATTAAGTCCAAACAGCGACATGAACCAATTCAACAAGAACAGCCCAATCATAATCGCAATAGCATATAAGCCATAATAAGCCGCCAGAATCCACCTGTATCTTTTCCGTGCAGCCTCCAAATTCGTCAATGGCTCCTTCAATAAATAAACGCGCCCGCCAATCATGTAATCCTTTGCGAATTTCGGCCAATCGAACGTACTCATCCTCAACTCAAACATTTGTTTATCCGCTCCGTTGAGTTTATCATACAAATTTAATATCTTCCTATGCGGCATCTTCCATTCTCGCACCGAGAAGAAACTTATAACCTGCGCGAATTTATCCAACTTTTTATAACCTTCTATTAGCAATGGTTTCTTTCCAAGCGCTAATAAGACACCATCCGCGATATACGCCGGGATGGTATGAATTAAAAACCAGCAGATGTTATGTAACCACAGGTGTTTGTTGAGGTAAATCATAGGTTTCCACATGATGATTATCGGGACGATTATGTCACCTTCACGATGATTTAAATCCATATAAGTCTCTAGAATTAAAAAAATAATAATTAAAATTTTATTTATTTTATAAAATATTGTTTGAAGTTGATAGTACTTACTCCAATCTATAGAATGATTCCACGAGGTGTAATTATAAACATCAAAGTTGAATTCGTCATTTTTTTCAATTTTATTTTGTACGTTTTGTATTTGTTGTGACTTTTGTAAGTCTCGCCCTCTGTTGGCGGTTTCATACGCCACAGCTAATAGGGAATTGACCACATAGTCTACCGGAACCATATCGGCTTTGTTATCAGGCGCACAGTGTAATGTTCGCATTAGGCCTACGCCCACGCTGAATGTTACACCTAGCGGGCCGTAAACGTTATCTACCCAGCCGGGGATAGGTTCTTTGTAGGTAGATAATACTGAAATGTAAATTATTATTAATTTATAAGTAAGATTTTGTTTTGGGAGGGTAAAAAATATGTCTTACTCATTGACGGGCGCACAATGGCGACCGGAAGTGGGCATTCCGGATCCGTTGCTAGTCTTTGTACTAATTCTTCAGCGACGCACTTTGTATACGTATAAGTATTAGGTATATCTCCTAAAATTCTATTTAAATAATTATTATCTTTTATATTTTCTATGCATTTTATGTATATTTTGGGTTAAAAGTCAAAAATATGCAAGAAAATGCAATGTGGTACTTTCTTTCTTGTACCATTTACAATTTTGATTTTACTACGATGAAATTATTACTAATTGTTAATGAAGAAAGTTTCTATAAGATAGCCTTTTAAATTTGTGGATATTTGCATCCGTTTATGAGATATTTAAAGCCAAAATTAAATGTAGTTAATGATAATATCAGCAATCTACTTCATTTTTCAACAGAACTAGTTTTAAATATTTATTATAAAATTGTTTATAGCAAATACAACGCAATTTTAATTTTTCTCGATTAATTTCTGCGATATTTAAATTTAAAGTAAAAACTTATCTCAAAAATCCACAAATTTCTCTTTTTCATATTCTATTCTCAAACATTTTTCAAGTAATTAAAAAAAACTTACGATTTCTCAATCCTGCTGATAAACTCATCATCCGGAAAGGTACTCATGAACGTATCCATCTGTTCCGCCGTCATCGGTGGCTTATAAACCTTCTCCTCGATAACTTTCTGCTGGCAGTTTGAGAACGCTGTCGAAACATGAATAAAACTCTGCAATTTCCTCATCTTCCTAGCGTTTGTCATCAAATCCTTCACGGATCTTATATTAATATAATACGCCGTGCGGAAATCCTGATCAAATCTCACTGTCGCCGCACAGTGTATCACCACTTCAACTTCATCATACAATAATTTCCAATCACTCTTGGAAATCGCTAGATTTCTCGCCGCGCAGTCTCCAGCTATCAATTTAATATGCTGCGTGAAATCTGGGCATTCATCACGTAGACGCTGGAAGATTTCCAGACCGAATATTTCACTAAAACGTTCCTCTTCGGTTTTTCCTTTCTTGGGTCTCACAAGCATGTAGATGCATTTCACTCGGCAGACGCGTAGAAGACGCTCGAGGGTTAACTTACCAAGGAAACCAGTTCCGCCTGTGAGGAAGACTGATTTGTTTGTGAAGAATTTGATGATTTCCGAATCGTCCGCCATGTTTTCTTAAATAGATTTTTGTGTTTTTGATTTTTTAGTTTTTGAAGTTTTGTGGTGAAATGTTGGAGTGATATTGGTTTGGTTTTGAGGTGATTGCGTGTTTTTATTGAATATGCTGTTTCTTGCTTTGCAAGTTTCTAGAACGCGCATTTCGTAAATTAAGCGGTCGGCCATTGTCTGCTATTCATGTGTGTAAATTCGAGTGCTGAAGGTTAGATTTTTGCAAAAAGTGCACGGAATTATTTATACGCGACTACTAGTTTTGCGCGTTGTGGTGACGTGCGGGAAAGTCGTACGCAAATGTGAAAAATTGCGAAAAGTAATTTATATGGAGTTGGAGTAAGAATATCTTAGAAACTAGTAGTGTTACTTACGAACAATTTCATAATAAAGGTTTCTTGCAAGTTACATTAAAAATATGTTGCTGATGACATTTTTTACATTTTTATTCGTATAACTTTTATTATTTGCAAATTTGATATTAAATATCTGATAAACTGATCGAAAAAATTACAAATTTTAAAAACTATCCAACCGAAAATATATTCATTAATAACTAGTAACAATTTTATTGTTATACGATTCAAATTGTAAGTGATACAAAGAAAACAATACAACATTGCGTTTTTGACTTATTTTTAAGTTTGACCTCAAATATCTCACAAAATATTCGATTTATTTTAAATTTTCAAAGTGTCATCTAGAAAAAATAATATTATATCAATTTTGTTATAAAAAAATTAATTATTACATAAGTAAATACTAATGCGTATAATTTATTTAATTTATTTTTAATTTATTTTCGAAAAAATATAAATTTTTTCGAAAATGTTCGATTTTACTGAACAAAAACTAACAAAAAAATAATTTAAAAACATTTATTTATAAAATATATATACTAATACACTATTACAATTACCTCTAATAAATTTAGCGCACCAAACCGAAAACATAGCAACTTAACTTATAAAAACAATACAATAATAACGTACACAATCCATAATGTGCTATTTTTAACAAAAATATTTTCCTCTTGCCTTGTGGGACTGTATCTAGAGTGTCTTTCAGAATATAAGCCCTTCCACCACGTATATAATGAATAAAATATTCATTCCAGTCGAAAATCGCAATATTAAAATCGAACTTTTTGCGATCTTCCAATTTCAATTTAATAAACAATTTCTGTACGTTGCAATTATGAAACTTCCAGCTACGCGTGCTGAAATACGAAATAACCTCAGAGAATTTATGGATTTTTTCATAAGCCTTAACCATCCTAAAATAAACAAAAGTAATCAAAAAATTAATTTAAAAAAATGATTTAAACACTTACATTCGTTTCTTTCCTAAGAAAATAGCAGTTAAATCAATTAAATAAGCTGGGATAATATGTAAAAGAAACGCTAGTATTTTATAAACATAATAATTCGGTGTGTAGAATGTGTGACTATGCCATAGAACTTTCGGGGAAGGTATCTCAAGGCAATATTTCTGTGAAAGTTTCATAAAAGTCCCTGAAACAACAAAGTTTTGAGATTATTATAATGAAAACTAGAATATTTAAATAATATTACTCCAATCGATGCATTTCAACGTGGAACTGACCACGTTGTAAATAGGTATTGCTTCCTCAGCTCGTGTAGTCATGACGGTATTATCTTTTAATAATTTTTCACTAAGAGAAACAAAAATTAATGTGTCTTAAAATTTTTAGGTAATTTTTTACTTCCACGTTTTAAGCATTTGTTTTTCTATGGTTTTTAGACACGAAAAGTTGTACTTTAAACACGGACGTATGTATACCAGTAGTATGCGAGCAAATTTCGAAGATGGAAAAGTAAAAATGTTAAATACCGATACCAAAACGTGGAAATATAGTGGAAGTAGAAAAAAATAACGCTGAACGTTGTTAATGTGCCGTGTAGCACACTTGACACTTAATATACTATAAAACTAAATATTACTGTCTGTAATGTATATCCACCACTGCAACCAGTCCAGTGTTAACCACATAATCAGCTGGGATCATCTCAGCCGCGCAGGATAAGTCAGTTTGAAGGACTCTGAGTAATCCCAGGGCGCTTCCCACTAATATTCCGGTCGCGCCGTAGACATTGTCAATCCATCCGGGGACGGGTTCTTTGTAACTTCCTACAACTATTTTTTCTATTGTAGAAGTTTGTTTTTGTTTTTGACTATATAATAGTTATTTAATATAATTACCGATTGATGGTCGTATCATTCCAATGGGCAATCCTCGTCCTTCATCACGTAGTAAATTCTCGGCGACTGCTTTGGTGAATACATAACTGTTCGGCCATTTTCCTAATAAACTCGGAGTGATATCAGCGACTAATTTCGAATCCAATGCGTCCATCATATTGATCAATCCGGTGCCAGTTATTGGTGTGTCGTAGAATATTTCGTCGATGTCATGACGGATACAGTTTGAGAATGCGGTAGACACATGCAAAAATGACTAAAAATAATAGAATTAGCAAAATGCAAAATGTTTGTTTGTTACTCTATAACACAAAAACTACGTAACGAAATTCTATAAATTTTTGTATTGAGATACTTTCGATTGTGGAGAAGCAAATAGTATACGTTTTATCGCAAAAATATTACATTATGGGTATAATATGAGGAATGAAAGATAGTAGAAAGATTCAATCATAGTTATAGTTACATAATGTGCAAACAAAAACAAAAAGCATTTTAAACCATTTTCCAATCCAAAAACTAACTGTACACAAAAATTAATGAAAATTCCTTCATTGGTTTTCACATTATCAAGTAACAAACAGCCAAAAACATAAAATCACAAAAAATTACTTACTTTAAGTTGAGGCATTTCCTTAGCAATATTTATCAAATCCCTCAGCGCTCTCACATTAATATTCGTCGCCACTTTCAAATTCTCATCAAATTTCACCGTCGCAGCGAAATGTATAATAACGTCCACTTCGCTAATAATCAACTGCCGCATCTCCGGGCGTAGAGCCAACTCTGGCAGACAACAATCACCCACAATCATTTGTACTTTATCCCGATAATTCGGAGTCATCTTCGCGACATTCTCAAATATCACACTGTCAAACAACTCATCATATCTCCTCGCGCAGTCCTTTTCTTTTTTTCCTCTCAATAAAATATAAATCTTTTTTATTCCCGGACATGCGCGCAGTAATTTCTCCAAGGTCATACGACCCAAGAAACCGGAAGCGCCGGTCAATAAAATTACTCTATCAGAGTAAAACTCTTCGATTTCTTGTAAATCCAAAACCATTTTTGCTAAATAAGAAAAAATAAATAAAATGAAATTGATTTATGTCTTAATTAATTTTAATTTATGCGCATATACTAAGTCAGTTTCTATTAATTATGAAAAGCATTAAGTGTATTTTTATTTTTATTACGAAAATTCAATTTACGCGTAAAGTAATATTTTATCAAAGACAATAATACTAAATCCGCACGAGGACGAATTTAAAACGATTTCTATGAGTTTTATCTGCGATGTGACTTAAGTCACTTTAGTAATGCATCAGAATATGCATAAATTAATTTTCCATTAGGTGTAAAATATAATAAACTCAATAAAAATATATTTTTTAAACTACTTACCATATAATTATGTTACTTAAGTCACTTTAATCGACTTAACTTATCCGTAAGTCTGGTAATTTCTGCGTGCGATGCAAGAAATTTTGCTGGCGATGAAATGTTTTGCACTTTGATGAATTGTTTGAAGTCGACTAAGCAGCGCATGCGAATTCCGCTGAATTTATGCGTTCCAATCGCCACCGGTCTCTCTTTTTCGCGCTCGCCGGCGTGCGTGTGTGTGAGTAATTGCACTTACATTTTAAGTGCGCTATTTGTTGTCAACAGTGTTTGTTGGGTAATTGTCGGCACATTTTTAAATATAGCGGAAAAACTTGTCGTGGAATCACAACAAAATCCGAATGGTATTTATGGTAATTTTTGTTTTTTAAATTTTCATCATGAATTGCTTGAGAAGTAAAAGTCATAGATGAATGGTTAGGGTGTCATATGAATCAGAATTTAATAAACAATTAAGATAAATTATTTATTTATTTATATATTTTGTAATTATTGAGTTATAATTAATTTAATAGATAATTTCATAGTTTTTTTCATGGTTTTGTGTCTTTAAACCCAATTTCCGACTAAAATATTAATCAGATTTTAATTAACAGTAATTCATTACATTGGGAATTAGTTAATGAATGTAAATACATTTGATTTTTATTCAAGGGATGATTTTTAAACCTACAGAGTGTTTCAAAGTCATATTTTCATATTTTTGTTGTTTTTCTCTTTAAGTCAAGCTACAAATCATTTGCAATTAATCATTATAGACATAAAAATACGTCAGCCATTTTTTAATTGTCACTTGACTGTTTGCAATTGTTTCCTCCACCATTTTAATGATCAATTCTTCAAAAAACTCTCAAATTACGCGCGTTTTTTGCTTTCAATTTACGTTTTTAATTCGCTAATTGTATTTTTTCCACTAGTAAGCAAATTAAACATCGCTTCAAACCGAGATTGTGCATTTCATCATGTTCGCGTGCAGTTTACTTTCATTTCCATTGAATCTTTCAATTTTTTGGTCATTCACGCGGCATTTTCTGCGCAAACTTTTGATTATTCTTCGATTTATATGTCTCTAAAGACCTCTGGATTACGTAAACCATCGTTTTTCAGCTGCAATTGCGATTTAATTTTGTGAAATTGCACATAATAATGATTCACACTTTTGTCCATCGACGACATCAAGCTACAGCTCACGCGTTATGCAATACTAATTCAAATTATGGTTATGATTATCTCCTATACATGAAAATGGAAATCTTAATATAAAAGTGTTTTATTCATATACGTAATTTTATTATTTAGAAAATGTCAACTTAGAAATTACCATAGAAAACTATTAATTTATAAAATTTACACTTTTTTACACTTTTTTTCTTTAAAACACTCTGTATAATTATTTTTAATTATATGCAATTAATAATTACGATCGCAAAGCGCAGCAAATTAATTAAATTTTTATTTGCGCTTTAATATGCCTGTCAAAATTAATTACAAGTGTATAAAATTCGATCTTAAAGTAGAAAACATAATATTTTATAAAAAAAGAACAACAACACCGCACATAGAGAATAATGTGCGATTTTTAAGAGTTTTAGCTTTCTCCTGCCTTGTGGTAATGTATCCATCGGGTCTTTCAGTAGATACACACGTCCTCCACGTGTATAATAACGGAAATAATCATCCCAGTCGAAATTCTCCAGGTTAAAGTCGAATAGTTGTTTATCTTCGTCATCTACCTGTCGCCATAGTTTTTGTACGTTTGTATTTTCAAAACGCCAGGAACGCGTGGCGAAAAACGATACAGTCGAGATTAAATGATGTACTTTTTTGTATGCTTTCACCATTCTATAAATAATTAATAATTAAATATTAATTAATTTGTTTGGAATTAATTTTTTTATATTTTTGCTTACAGAGGTTTCTTCCCAATGCAACTCGCAATCCCATCGAATAAATACGCAGGCACCAAGTGTAAGAAGAAGATTGCAAGGTAATACAACACGGGATTTCCAGTGAATACCTGAATCGAGTGCCAGATGATTTTTGGTGATGGGATCTGCTTACAGTGTTTCACTGTTAAATTCTTGTAAGTTTCTACAATTATTTATTATTATTTTCTTTTTTTCTTTGGTTTTGAGTGACAAATTATTTGTAAATTATCTTACGCCATGTGATGGGTGTTTGTGATGAACTAACAACGTTGTAGATTGGTACATCCGCAAATTCGGCGACTTTCTTACTGTTTAACTCACTAAAAATGAGTTTTTGTTAGTTTTGTCATATTAACACTTTCTTTTTTGGTGTTTTTGTGTGTTTTTAAATGTGTAATTTTAAATAATTACTGTTTGCGATTGATGTCGACAATGGCGGCCATTGCGGTGTTAACGACGACATCACCGGGTACTACTTCCGCTACACAGCGGAGATCTGTGCGCATTACGCGGATGAAACCCATTGCCATTCCGATCATTGTTCCGGTTGGGCCGTAGACATTGTCAATCCATCCTGGGACAGGTTCTTTATAACATCCCAACACTAAAAATAGATTAATATGTAGTTTTGGTTGCATATTGTTGATTAGAATAACATCGGATAGTAATGGGCGAAAATGTGCGAGAAATTTGAATTTTGGTTTTGTAATACAAATTATTACGACGAATTGACTTCATATCAACTTCTGACCTTGAACTTCAACTTATATTAACTATCCAGTGTTATTATAAATATTTACCCATTGACGGACGTATGAATCCGATCGGTAATCCATGCCCAATCTCTCTAATCATATTCTCCGTCACCGACTTGGTGAATACGTAAGTATTCGGCCATTTGTCAATGAGAATCGGTGTTAGTTTCTCCACAGTTTGTAAATCCAATGCGTCCATCATATTAATCAATGCTTCGCCTTTAATCGGTGTTGGATAAAACTCTTCGGCGATTGTGTCTCGTACGCATTGAGAATACGCAGTGGAAACATGTAGAAAGCACTAAAAACACAATTTATATTTAAATATATTCATACATTACAAGTTTTCATACATTAAGTGTGAATAATTGTAAAATAAAATACCTTGAGTTGTGGCATGTGTTTAGCCATTCGTATCAAATCTCTCACAGATCGCACATTGATATTCGTCGCGATTTTTAAGTTCTCGTCGAATTTGACGGTTGCTGCCCAGTGGATGATTACATCGACTTCGTGCATAAGTACTTCTTTAACTTCCGGTTTTAAGCCTAAATCCGGTTGGCTGCAGTCGCCCTCGACTATTGTTATCTTTCGTTTGAAATCCGGGTTTTCTTTTTGGACTTTTTCGAAAATCTATATGATTAAGATAAAAACGTTATTATATCAATTTTGACTATTTCAAATTTTATGGTTTGAATATATTTTCTTATAGAGAATTTGCTGTAAATTAAAATTTTTTTGAAATTTGCAAAATCTCATAGAGAATAGTGCGTAGAATAGTCACTGCGATTTGTTCCTATTTATCTCTTTTAGTTTACGAGATATTCGCGATTGAAAAAAATCGTCAAAATTTGAAAAATGTCACTTTTTAGCACTTTTAGTCACGTTTTTTGACCTTTTACTATTGGAAATATTCGTATTTTATGTTTTTATCTGATAGAGAATCTTCCAATCTATCATAATGAGCAATTCGTTGGTTGCTATCGCTTTTAGTTTAAGAGATATGAATTATCAAAAATTAGCCTATCTTACAGAGAAAAGTCCGTAGATTAAGACCCTGCGATCAGATCCTATTTATCTCTTTTAGTTTACGAGATATTCGCGATTGAAAAAAATCGTCAAAATTTGAAAAATGTCACTTTTTAGCACTTTTAGTCACGTTTTTTGACCCTTTCCTATTGGAAATATTATTATTTTATATTTTTATCTGATAGAGAATCTTCCAATCTATCATAATCAGCAATTCGTTGGTTGCTATCGCTTTTAGTTTAAGAGATATGAATTATCAAAAATCATCGAAAAAAAGTATCAAGCACCCCCCCTTGGCAATTTTTTCTTAAGTTAAAAAATTTTATCTCTCAGATTATCGTTTTAACTAGCCTATCTTATAGAGAAAAGTCCATAGATTAAGACGCTGCGATCAGATCCTATTTATCTCCTTTAGTTGACGAGATATTCGCGATTGAAAAAGTCGTCAAAATTTGAAAAATGTCACTTTTTAGCACTTTTAGTCACGTTTTTTTACCTTTTACTATTGGAAATATTATTATTTTATATTTTTATCTGATAGAGAATCTTCCAATCTATCATAATCAGCAATTCGTTGGTTGCTATCGCTTTTAGTTGAAGAGATATGAATTATCAAAAATCATCGAAAAAAAGTATCAAGCACCCCCCCTTGGCAATTTTTTCTTAAGTTAAAAAATTTTATCTCTCAGATTATCGTTTTAACTAGTCTATCTTATAGAGAAAAGTCCATAGATTAAGACGCTGCGATCAGATCCTATTTATCTCTCTTAGTTTACGAGATATTCGCGATTGAAAAAAATCGTCAAAATTTGAAAAATGTCACTTTTTAGCACTTTTAGTCACGTTTTTTTACCTTTTACTATTGGAAATATTATTATTTTATATTTTTATCTGATAGAGAATTTTCCAATCTTTCATAATCAATGATTCGTTGGTTGCTATCGCTTTTAGTTTAAGAGATATGAATTTTTAAAAATCGTCGAAAAAAGTATCAAGCACCCCCCCTTGGCAATTTTTTCTTAAGTTAAAAAATTTTATCTCTTAGATTTTTGTTTTAACTAGCCTAGCTTATAGAGAAAAGTCCATAGATTAAGACGCTGCGATCAGATCCTATTTATCTCCTTTAGTTGACGAGATATTCGCGATTGAAAAAGTCGTCAAAATTTGAAAAATGTCACTTTTTAGCACTTTTAGTCACGTTTTTTGACCTTTTACTATTGGAAATATTATTATTTTATATTTTTATCTGATAGAGAATCTTCCAATCTATCATAATCTGCAATTCGTTGGTTGCTATCGCTTTTAATTGAAGAGATATGAATTATCAAAAATCATCGAAAAAAAGTATCAAGCACCCCCCCTTGGCAATTTTTTCTTAAGTTAAAAAATTTTATCTCTCAGATTATCGTTTTAACTAGCCTATCTTATAGAGAAAAGTCCGTAGATTAAGACGCTGCGATCAGATCCTATTTATCTCTTTTAGTTTACGAGATATTCGCGATTGAAAATAAATCGTCACTTGCACTTTTAGTCACGTTTTTTGCCTTTTTGTCCCGCGAAATTAAATTATTTAAAATTCTCATCTAACAGAGTATTTTCGAATATTTCATAATCTAGAATTCGCTGGTTGCTATCTTTTTTAGTTTAAGAGATAATCCCATCAAACGGTATTAAAACAATAAATCATGCAAATTTGGTAAACTCTCAAGGCTAGCACTCTCTTATAAACATTTTCACTCACTAATTAACTTAAACTTTACTTCTGCTTATTTTTTCCCGGAAGCAGTCGTTAAAAAGCGATAAAAATAACTCTAAAAAAAGTAATGTGTGTTGTGCGTACAATGCTGTTGAACAGTTCGTCCATGCGTCGGCCGGCGTCCTTGTCCTTCTTCGCCCTCAGCAGAATGTAGATTTTTTGCACGGAGGCGCACGACCGCAATAACTTCTCCAGGGTCATCTTACCCAGGAAACCGGACGCCCCCGTGAGGAATATCACCCTGCCGCGGTAAAACTCACCAATCCTACCTAGCTTCGCACCTGCATCTGCGTCCATCTTTTGACCTTCAATTTACAGGAAAAAAAAATGAAAATTTCAAAATGTTTCGGTCAACAGTGTAATAAGCAATGTGCAAATTGATTTATTACCAGTTTGTCGTCAGAATATTATATATTATGCAAAAGTTATATTGTGTGCACACAGCATTAAGTATTAAGTATATTGCGTTGTTTTGACTTAAATTTAATAAATTTTCTTGGTATTTATTTTTCGCGAAGGTTAAAACGTTTAAAATCGCGGATTTTGTTTAAGTAATTCGTAAATAATGTAAATTATCATTTGCACATTGCAAGATCACACAAAATATAAAAATATTTATTTAAAAAACTTACTTTTTGTGATAATCTTCTAAACTTCGTAAAATTTTAACCAATTTTCAATTGTTTTATAGATTCACTAAGTCTTTACGTTGTGACGGACGCGTGTTGAACACTAAGATCGCCGAATATCGAGTGAGACGTAGCGTCGTGGAAGATCACGGCGAAACTCTCAAAAAGCCACGCAGAGTTCACACACACACACACACACACACACACACACCAGTCAAACCCGCCAGCCAAACAAGAAGTTTTTCATTCACCGCACCACCACAAGCAAAAAAGGTAATGAATACTAATTAAACGGTAATCGCATCTGGGTGTACCCGATCGAATCACCTTTCGGGTGATGTTTGGTAACATTCGTTAAAATGTAAATTGCGGCGCGGCATCATGCGCGCAATTTGATTTATTACTCGCGTCTATTGTCTGTTTATTGTCCTCCTCGAATTTCGAACGCCCGCCGGTCTCCTCTCCGACTCACTGGCAGTCAGAGACGTAATTTGCATTCTTGTTTGCGCAATTAAATTCGTTCATGAACTTATATATTACTACACGCGCGGGATTTCGGCGGTAAGAGGACAAAAGTCACCGATGTTTCGTCAGAAATGAATAATTTTTTGTGTTATTTGGTGTTAACATTGACATTTTTAAACAATTCATTTCTCTTCTGCGTGAAAACTGTAAATTTCATCTTGTGCACGATGTTTGAAAGGTGCATTGTTATTTAAATAATTGCAAGTGCATGATGCGGCTGTTAAATTCTCATCAGTATTAGAAGATCTCTTAAAATGCAATTAGAGAAGTGGAATTAGGTGTGTTGTTTGTTTCTGCTGCGGTGGTTTTATTGATTGTTGATGAAAATTGCGGAAATGGCGGTTAATCCGAAGTTTGCGTGTTAATGAACGTAGAATTATTTATTGGTTGCCTTTGCATGACTTGGCAAGTATTGAGATTTGGAAGGAAAGCATTGACACACTTCAAGAACTGCGCGCAAGGTCGGTCACAGCATCCAAAAATAATGGATTCACGATGGTTATGCTGAGTCATTGATTTCTTTCTGATTTTTTTTTTTTTTTTGAATTTTTTGAAGGGATTAATATTTTTTTGTTTTGTTTTTGTTTGAATTTAAAAATTTTTACGAGTTGTTCATGAATAATATTGAGTATGGTGTCTTGAGATTTCAATTTAAATTTGGTATTGAGCGGTATTTATTAATTGCAGGGGAAGAGCCTGCAACACGAGTAATTTCGAGAAAAACATTTTTATTTTCTTGGTTTTTGCTCGCTTGCATTAAATTGTGGCGTTTTTGTATTATTACGGAATAACGAGACATCACACAAACTTGAACGCAGTCTGAAAAGATGTAGAATTAAATTCTCCGTCGTTTATATAATGATTATGTGGTCTAGGATAAATATTTATTAATTTATTCATCAATTTTCAAATAATATTCCCACAAATATTACAAAACAGCTATAATTTAAATCATCTAGCGACAACTGGGTTTGAATTCTAACATGAATGTATAAAATTGCTATTCATTTATACAGGGTAACACATGCGCAGTTTTGTGTACGTGTTTACACGACGCTGCCATTTAAGTGCGTGACCACTCACTGCCTCATAGACAATTCCGCACTGACACACATGCGCGCCATACTGTTGGAAGCACCTTGTATTTTGTTGTGGTGTTATAAAGTGTCCTCAGATGGCGGGTCGATGCAAATATACCTGGAAATATACCTGCGCGTGAATTTTGTTTTGTTGCATTGATGCGATAACGACGAGCACACATTCCACACTTTCAGTTTGTGTTATTCGTTGTTGCAAGTTCGGTACATCGCGTTGTGTTTAGTTAATATTTAGTTTCGGTGAAAATTAGTGTTAATATAGGTGTTTGGTTTTTTTACTATTTAATTATCGCGTGTGTAATTTTCGTAATTGTAAATTTTGCGTGTTTAGTTTATTCGCTTGTTTGTGTTTCGAGTCCGTTGCCGTCGGGCAACGGCCGGCGATATTTTGTGAACGCGAATAATTAATTGACTTGTGCAAATAAATAAACATATTTATCTTCAGCAGTTGAGCATGGACTAATGTGATACCTGGTAAATATTGTTATTTCTATGATTATTATGCGGAAAACTAAGAATTTTAATTCAAAGTATGTGTTCCGACAGAACTCTAATTTATTTCAACGTGGTTCAAAAAAATGTAACTAATGTTTGGTTTCTCGTTTATTTCAGTGTCTATCAACCTGCTGTCGATTTACCGTCTTCTATAACTGGTAAGTACAAAATAATTTCATTATTTATAGGAAGCGTTTGCCGTGTACATAGATTTCAGTTTAGTTCTACCTTTTGTTGTTTTTCTGCAATATGGTTGAAGTTTTATCTGGAGAAAATTCAATAAGACATATTCCTCATCTTTTTTACTTAGTAAAATTATTTCTCTATTTATCAGCAAACGTGTTCGCATTCGACATGAGAATTGTGTTTGTTTTGATTACAAAGTTACACTTTCTTATCGCCGTTCGAACAGCAACGTCCAAGATTGCCGTGTGTTGTTGTTGCCATCTTTTCACGTCTCGCTCTGCTGGTCTTCTAGTTTAGTATACGCTAGTAAAGTATCTACCTTAAGCGCCGCCTCGTGGCTTATTTCTTAAATAGTGAGTCTTCTGTAACCTTTGAGTACCATATGTTATATATATATTATATGTAATTGCAAGTGAATTAATAATTTTACAAAATGGATAAAAAAAAAAAAAGTATCAACTCGTGCTTGTTGCGTTGTCGACTGTAAAACACTGAAAGGAAAGTGCGTAACCAGAACTGCATCACCGCTTTTCCTGGATATCCTCACGAATTGAAAAGAAAAAAGAAGTGGATTGCAGCAAGTACGTCGAGAACGTGCGAAGTTTTGGTTTGTGGAATTAATCTTCAAATTTATAATAATAATAAATATTTTCATTTTATTTTTAAAAAAATAAGATTTATTCAGTAATTTTAACGGCAAAAGAATATTTAAGTAGTTTTCTCCTACTGAAAAATATTTTTAAAGGTTAACCCACCGCTTAACAGATATTTAGGCTTTTCACTAAACATGATTATTCAATTTTATAGCAAACAAATAATTTCACTATTGTCACAATTTTATAAGTAAATCTCTTTATTGCAGGAGTGATGGAAAACCGTGGCAGCCTGGAAAAATTCCAGACCCCAGAAAAGAATATTTTGTTGGGGTGAAAAATCTAACAATCCACTCAATGAATCTTTTATCACCAAATCCATATTTCCCTCCAATATACGGAAAAAAAAAAGAAATTCTAATGCAGGTTTACGAGCTGAGAGATTGCGAAAACGACGGGAAAAGAATTTCATCTGCAATAATTAATACAGCTCCAACAGATGCTGCAGTTGATAAAACAGTTGTTTCTGAGAAACATGATATTGGCATACAAACTGATCCTGATTTTGAATTAAATAATGATTGCAATGACATTAACTTTATGTTCTGTTTTTAGTAATTATAACGAATCATCAACACACAAACAAATATTTTGGTTCATTCTGGACAGAATAAGAAAAGAATGTGCCATTGTTGCAGAGCATTACATATTAACAACACAAAAGTACAGGCTTCTTTGGGATTTGATTGCACATAATGTCAGATACAGTTAAATGAAAGCAGTTTGCTGGCATTGATTTATTTTTTTTCATATACCGCTGAAATTTATTGTACCAGGAAGAAGGTCAACCTGGTACTTTTTTAAGAAAGTATCTGCGAAAATAGGCTTCTAATATTATTTTTGATGAAGATGAAACTTGATTACCTTGCTGTAATTGGGTGCTTGTTCAATGTATCTCATACAACTGCAGTATTGTATTTTTCTCAAGCGTTTTAAAAACGCTAGCTGCAAAGACCACAGAACTGATATTTTGGCCGTCATGATGCGGTAAAAGAAACACACTAAAAGTTTCTTTTAAAATTATCCGAACTGTCGAGCAATAATTGATTGCACCGAACTTCTCAAAAATCGATACGCCACCACAGTTGAACAGAGAGTCCTTAATGTATTCCAGTTATAAATCTCATTTTTACAGTAAAATTTTTGATTGCAATCAGTCCATCAGGTAGCGATACTTTTGTGTCAAAATGCGTATGGAGGAAAGGCTACCGATGGATTCATATATCCAACGACTCCGGATTTCTGAATTAATTGAAGCTGGCGATCAAATTTGGCAGATAAAGGTTTCGCCAAATAAATAGTGAACTATTAAAAACGTCAACCCAGTACACACGCTACCATTCGCATATAATCCACAATTTTCGTGAAGAAGTTCTTCGTGGGTAATTGATAGCTTCTGTTCGAATTCACGTGGAAAGAGCAATTCAGAGGATAAAAATCTTTAAAACCTAGAGCACATTTATATTGAATTATTGATAATATTGATGACATTATATTCATGGTTTGTGTATTAGCTAATAACAAAGAACCTAATAAAAAATGATTGGTTTCCTCAAGTAATGAAATATTTGAAGTAAAAATTTTCAATTTTGTATCAATTTCACTCAAAAATTGTTCATCTCTTTGAATAATAATGTACATGATCTTCTAATGAATAAAACAAAGAAATGACAGGAATTCAAACCAAGTACATATAAGGAAACTTGTACTTGAGTAAAAATATTTATCAACTCCTTTTGAGCGTAACTCATTTCCTAATTATCATTCTCAAAAATTAAATACGGTACTTTAATCTGACGTGCTTCTAAATCAATTATTTTGAATCTTTGCAACTACTTCCGACACATTTGATTTCCAATAACTCAAAAATGCCATGATTGTCAATAATGCCATCAGGACTACATGCTAAAATGGTTGCTTTTGATATTATTAAACCAACGCGATGAACTGCTAGTCCCGTCAACTCCTTCAAATTTTGATGCGGCGTTTTTCTGGTTCCATTTCTATGCCGTAACGCATATCTGGTGTTAATGCACCTTAAATGATTGGTTTATAAATTGTTTTGCCAGTCCTAAATTTGTTCGTCTGGTCTTTGATTTGATGTGCTCTCTGACTGGAGGTGATTCTAACGAATCTTCGGCAAACCAAACCTGTGTCTGTGGACTGGGCCAGTAGAGACTCCTGAGATATGTTTAAATACCGCGACGCACCAGTGCAAACATTTTATAAAAATCGCCACAATCTAATGGGCAAGCTACAATTTAAATCTATGCACCAAAGAATCGGACTTAATGATAGAATCATAGGCATGATATGTCGGAAAATCATTGTCTTGAAACTATAAAAGTTTCTCGAGCAAGTTTTGAACTTGAGCCCTTTGCTACGTTTATTATTTCCCAACCAATCTCAAATCATTACACTTTTTTTCCGCGTTAATCATTTCAAGCATCGGATTATTTTGTGTTAATTGCAACTCAGAAACATTCTGAAGCGTGTCAATTGTATATTTTTCCGGTTGCTGTATTTGAATCGCGGGATTCCTCATTTTTCGAATTTGACAGCCCTTCCTATACTTTTGTAATTGCTCATCAGTTGGTTTATGCCAAATCATAGGTTGATCAGTTTTTGAGCATGTGTTCTCAAAGTTGACATAAATGCACACTGCTGCTGCGTGTTTGCAAAAACCTCTGCCTCCGCGACAACAACAAATTGTGTTTATAACCGCTCTGTTCACATCCAGCTAGAAACCAAATTTGGAAACTAATTATGATTTAAAAGTTTTTACTTGCCTCAACAGTAACATTATAATAATTCGTATGCTTCTTAGAACTAGTTTGACCAGGAGTTTCACGTAATACGGTTCCAAAAATTCGTCTCGAATTATTTTCTTCAATCTGTTCGTAAACATTAGAAACGTGAAAACTAGTACATAAGTTGCTTCCTTTTGATAAAGTTTTCTTTCTAAAAATGTCTAGGTGAACTTCTTGAAAGCCGCTGAATAATTTTTTTGTCGACATTTTTAAAAAGTTTAATTATTGATAATACGAGTATATTCAAAAATAAAGTGTAAACAATAGCTTGACAGGTGTAGAAGACTCAGTATTTAAGAAATAAGCCACGAGGCGGCGCTATGGTAGATACTTTACTAGCGTATAGCATGCACTATTTTCATACTTTGTCGTATAGAGAATTTCCAATAGATTAATAATCAGGTGCCCGTAAAAGTGATTTCCATTTTAACCACCGTACGAGGGCAGCGATAGAAGTACTCGCGTTCAGGGCACCTTACGTGGATGAATTGAAATCTTATCTCCTAGATTTCCAATTTAACTAGCTTATTTGATAGAGAATTTTCGGTAGATTAACGCTCGAGATATTTGCAATTGAAATAAATCGTCAAAAAGGGAAAAATGCCACTTTTTAGCACTTTTGAAGTTAATAAATATTTTCAAAGGTTAGATGGCGCTACGATGTACGGTTTTGCATTAAATATTACTTGTTGGTGGTAGTGAGTGCACACCGTGTCCGTGTGCGATCACGCGATTTCCTCGCGCAAGAGATAAGTTTTCTGTTTACCCGCAGGTATCGAATCTTTATTTCAGGAATCAAAACACACCGTTGCTGCTTTATTATATTAGTATCGTAAATAAGCAAATATTCTTCACCCATTCATGAATACAACTAACAATTTTATTTTAATTCTAATACATTTTTGCATATCAGCAAAATGATTATGGAATAATGTGTTACCTGGTAAACGAGAAAACGGTGCATGTTCAAAATGAAATATCACTTAAACATTTAATGTAAAATCTTGCAATCTGTCAGCATAAGAAATCAGAAGAATTACGCAAATCGAATTTTAATTTTATTACCTTTACCAATCTAAATTTCGGAAACTACTGTACCATCTATAGATGGCAGCTAGCACGAACTAAAAAATTTAAAATAAAGAATTGTATTTGTTTGAACATAATATACACTTCTCTTTACTGCATTGCCGTGTCGTCGTTGCTAAAGCACCTCACGCCGCATGTTGCTGCATCTTAGTTCAGTTTTGATTCCAGGTAAAGTGCCGTACAGCGCATAAGGTCGCGCGCCGTCGACGCGCTGCCGGGTTTGCGGCATCTATTGCAATTGCGTACAAGGTCGCGTACCATCGGCGCGCGCTGGTCTTGGTGTGCACTTCATGCTTCATGCATCTGTTGAGTTCTTAAATGTGCTTATCATTCACCTTATGGCTTGTTTTATTCCCTTTTCTTAGTGTCCATCATTACTTTGTATCTATGTGTTTTTTTTCGTCGCGGTCCATGTATTGCTGCATTCATGTGTTTTTTTTTTTCGTCGCGGTCCATCGCCCAGCCTACTAAAACGTTAGCATTAAATAGTGAATTATTTTTGTTGTGGGAGTAACGTCTTACAAATTTGGGCGCGGGATAAAATAGCGGGTAGGTTCTATTGCTGACCGTTTCATCCCCTGTAGATATCATAAATAGCAAAGTAGTAATTAAATCTTAGTAATTAGCGATTAGATAGTTGAATATTATATTTGCATTACGACATATTTAAGTTTCAATTCTTCTCTATCATATTTGCCTCTGCTAATCGGTTGTACTTAGGCTTCAATCATTAGCAGACGTACGTCATTACTTGGACTCTTTAGTTCACTTTTTATCACT